AAAAACTTTAATATAAGTTCAACATAACAGCAAATGTACAACGTTTCGACAATGTTTTGTCATCATCAGGTATGAATGAATTGAATTCATCATAGCAAGACTTGCATTGCCTACTAAGAAAGTTAGTAGCCGGTAATCATCGGGTTAATAGATCTATAAAGTAAAATTTACTAACCACGTGCATACTGCATATCCTGGCCTGTCCACTTTCCTCGCAAAGTCCGATAAAAAGTCACCATTTACATCCTTTTCCTCCAGCCACGACCATTTGAACTTGTTCTTTACCATTCCTTCTATGCTACGGATATCCGCCGACCTATCTACTTGTTTGTACATTTCATTTGATCTATTATCGCTTCGGTAAACACCTTTGAATAGTTAAGGTTCTTCAATTGTCTCGCTCAATAGAAAGGTACACAAAAGAATGACTGCGTTTTCTAAAGCACGTTTGAGATAAAATCTCGTTCACATGACACGAAGTTTGCATTATAAGCATACAAGGTCTCGTACACGCCAGCAAGCATTGCGAGACTACAAAATGGCGGCGCCCTGTCGCCGAATGTAAACAAACCGCGCGATTGCATAAACGCTTATCTATGTCATGGAACACCAAAATCCGATAAATAATTTTAAAAAATGTGTTTCTCCGGAAAAAAAACGGAGGTTTTCAGGATTTTTTAGAAATATCCCGATTTCCGGATATATCCGGAAGACTTTCATCTCTGAATGTTTAAAGTGTGTAATGTTTTTGAGAAGTTGTTAATGTTAAATAAATGTTATTTTGAGTGTTCACACTTGGCCTGAGACTCAATTTCTTTAGTCAAACCGTAAACTTCTTTGAGTTAGCGACTTGTGGCTCCACTCGTCACGACAAATCCTCCAATAAATAAATTAGGTGTAACGAGTAGTTTTAATTGAAACTCCAACAATTAAGCCCACCTGGGCGCTACTCATTACACAAAGAAGATCCATTCATTTTAAGAAGGAGTGTAACTGTAAAGCATGTGCCTTTTGCATTAAACAGTTTCAGGAATTTTATTCAAAGCAAAATTATCTGATTTCAAAGTTAAGAACTTTTTCACTTAACATACATAAAATCCTTATTACGATCCCTGTAATAATTATGTTTATGCTGCCAGTGATTTCTTTCTAAATTAAATCATTTTTATATAATATTTGTGTAATGAAACAGCTTTTGATAACCAAGAATTCAAAATGTGCAGATGCAAAAGTGTAAGAACATTTTTATATTATTAATAATTTTACTGATCATAAACATATTGCCCTTTAATATAACTGAAACAAGTAGTAATCAGTTTGTCTTTTTTTTTAAGTAGGGTTAATATACAGTATCACTCATTATTTTCACCAATTTTGCAAACAGTGCACATATAATTATGATGTGTAAGGTTCAGCCAATTGCTAAGCAATTCCTAAAACAAAGCCTCATTCAACAGTAAGAATTTTCTCACTGTGAACAGCAATTATCACTCAAATGGAACAAATGTTACTAACTACCAAATATGCTCCACCCTCCCACATCTGCATCCAGATTGTATTCCAAGTGTTCCTCTGATGGATGCAACCAGACCAACAGTTAGGAAGTTTCCATCCAAATATAAATTCCCTTGATCAGTAGGGCAGTGCTTTTTCATGTACTGTAAAAGTTAAAAGTGTAAAAATATGAATCAGGGCCCTTGAAATGTGGCTAAGCATTAACATCACAAGTTTCATGTTCAGACTACTGTTATAATAAACAGACCCATTATAGCTAACATGATATTCTTCCAATTATGTAACCTGCTGAGCAAATATTTTCCTGAAATAAGATGAAGTTATCCAAGAGAGCAGAACATACTCAAAGCTTGATTTTAGGAAATAAGAATGTGAATCAGAGACCTTCATATGTTTTGTTTTCTATAAAAATGTGTTTTCAAATTCCAAAAACCTCAAACACTGCAGCTCAACTAAATACTGGTATTAGCTTTTTCTATAACACACTTAAATATAATACAAATATGCATAAAAAACTGAAAATAGAAATGTACCCCAATACTTAACAACAAATGCACATACTTTCTCCAAAAGTTCATGTCCAAAAAGGATGAGATACGAGAAGCCTCTGGTGACAGCTTCATTTTTGTATGGCGTATGGTATCTACTTGTGTGCGACTATGTGTAGACCTTCCATTGTCAACTATTTCAGACTCGTATGGTTCTTCCAAAATTCCAGAATCCTCAGACGTGCTACTTGGGGAAGGACTAGGGGCACGACTGTGAGAAAAAGAAAGGCTCGAGGCTTCACTCAGACTGTCATCCCCACCTAGAAGTAAATAGTGCATACATCAAAAATTCTTAGTTAGATATACATGTACCAGAAAACAAAAATCAAAAACAAATTAATGGTGAAACAAAATTTCTTTGCATAGGCTATGTTTCTGATCTGAAATGTGCAAGATCACTAATAAATAAAACATATCACCCTGTGTTGACAGACACTAAGAAAAGTGTTTAAGAAATGCAGGAAGAGAGTAGCAATACATGAGTCCTCTATATTGAACACAGTATAAACAAAAGCATGTATATTAAAATACTTATACTTTATAACTTGTACCATATTCTGAATTACAATAATATATGTTTATACACACACACACACACACACACATGATTAACCAACAACATGCATGTAATTAGAATATGAATCAGTTAATGATACACACATTACTCTGATCTTACCTATCATATCATCAGAAAAGCTACCAGGAGAGCTTGCATGTTCCATTTTTTCATTTGTTTTTTTAGTTTTATGTTTCTTCTGTAATCTCTTAGATGCCTTGGCTTTAGCTTTGTTAACAGATTTAGTTCCTGGACCTGCCCGGGCATCAACCACCTAATCAAAATGCATAAAATAAGACAGTTCTAAGGTATTATTAACCTAACTTTATAAAATCCTCAAAATACTAAGTACTGAATATACAAGTACAAAAAATTATGCTATTGAACAGCCAAGTTTTCCATCAAATGTAATTTTAAAATATGTTTATGCATATTTAATTACTATAGATTAATTAAAGCAATGAATAGAAAAGTACTTTTCAACCTCCAATAAAATTCTATGATCTTTGTTTAGCATACTGTCAAATGATGCATTCCAACCTATTTTAATCTCAATTAGCCAATTATTTTCACAACAATCAACTTAATCGTAATTTCAATTGGCTTATCTGACACTAATCAATGTAATCATTGCTCATAGGTAATGGATTATATTGATTAATCATCTAGATATAGATAGGTAAAAGTGAGCATGGGCAATATTTAATTAAACTACTTTATTACCATTGCATATCAATAAACTTACCATCAAAATGTAGTTAATTAAACTATCACAAGTTTAATTTCTTAATTTCAAAAGGAAATACTTAAAATCTCAATCTTCAATTTTCTATATCATGCAACACTTGTTTCCTCAGAATTGTTCAATTTAGACATTTTTTCCACCCCTATTTCAGCTTCTGAGTTTTAATGCTGATTAGAAATATCTATACCAAAAGACTGTAAGACAATAATTTTATACCCTCCAATTATCTTTATTTACATACAGAGATATAAACCAGAAAATCAAACCCACATACGACACCTTCCTATCACATACTGTCCTTCAAAAAATGTCAATAATTCTCTCCAAAGTTTGATAAAACATTATTTATAACCAATAGAAGAGAAACTTTTTATTTAATGAATTATGTTATAAATTAATTCATTCTCACAATGCTTTTGATTTATTTGGCCTACAGATTCAAAGTTGCTAATGTCAAATTCAGCTTAACATTTTCATTATCTGAAAATGCAGTTCCAATAGATAACTCCACACACAAGAATAGCCTCTTTCCTCTTGAGTTTGCACAATCTGCAAAGAAGATTTGCAAGCCACCAGCCTTGTGAAAATTCCTACCTAATCTTGTGTGAAACCATGTGAAATTGCACCACTGCATGATGACATAATCATGCAGCAGAACCCTCCAGCAATAAGAATGTAACACACCTCCATGAGCAATGACTCCCCTCTATATTGTGCTTGTGAATCCTCATTTTTTGAGAAGAAAATAAATAAATATGCACCAGAAAAGTGGGTATGATGGTCAAGAATGTGTGCGGAGGTTTGTATAGGAAATACATTTTCAGGATAAAGAAAATATTAACTTCCAAACGAACACACACACACCTCTTCACGCAGAATAGCTAGAATCCCATGCTAAGATGGTTGAGGGACTTGTTCAAAATTAACTTGAGCTCTCTCTTTAGAAAGCATCCAAAAGAATCCTTGAGGTGGAACACCTGATTGAGGGATTCCATCGGGACAGACCCATAGGAGATCTCATCTCATCCAGGATATACTCTCTACTCATGTATGAGAATAGAAGAGGCAGAAAAGCCCTAAACAGGTTGCAACGGCAGGTGGAATAGCAAGAAAAATGGACAGAAACACCACTCTGGTGCTGGCTTTTTTCCCCATGATAGTCCATAGAATGGGTATAATCTGTATCGAACATGAAAATATATACTGATTGATAGATACCATGAGGAAACTTCAAGTGGTCTTGCAGAACACCCCATCTCACAGTGGGAACTTCTAGAACCAAGGCAGATGGCATGAGGTCTTTCTGTTATTCTGGCTAGATGCAGATTTTGGTTAACTATACCATGGAGAGCAACACTAGGCTTGTCGTGATAGGGTTAACGAGGAAGAGCATGACAAACAACAAATGACCCAGACAGAGTATAGGAGTTTGTCTGGTACTGAATGAGTGTAGAGAAGCGATATAGCAAGAAGGGGTTTGGGAGAAAGTTTTATTCACCAAATATACATGAAAATAAGGTGAAGAAAGTCATTCATTAGGTAGCGTGCAAACCTCGAGGTAGAAATTGGAGCTCAAATTTGTCCTCATCAGTTTCAGGGATGAAATAGAGGAAGAGCAGTCAGTGGGATGGGAGCAAGAAGTCCCAGCTCCATAATGGATCCCACCACACGATGGAAGATGGGCTTCATGTCTTCCACAGTAAAAGAACTTCCAGCAGAAATGACATTCATCTGGACTGTTTGAGGAGATTATTCAGTCAAATCTGCTTTTAAAAAAAATTACCATTAAATTGTGAATTCATGAATAAACTCAATCAAGTAAATATTGAAACTCGAAAAATTTTGAAAAGAATCGCAAATCTCAGCAAACTCAAAAACACATCAGTGCACTACAGTACTCAGGAAAAAAACAAAGATTCACAAGCACAAATATAGAGGGAGTCACTGTGCATAGAGGTGTGTTACACTCCTATTGATGGAGGGTTCTACTGCACAATGACATCATCATGTAGAAGCACAAGTACACATGAGATTAGGTAGGAGTTTTCATAAGGCTGGTGGCTTGCAAATCTTTTTAGAAACTATCTGTGTGAGGAAGTGAGGTACTGTTTTGGAATTTCAGATTTTTAATATAAAAATAACAATGCCAAAAATGTTTAACTGAATGTGCATGGGGTCAGCCTATTGTGGTGACCCTGTATTGTTGAAGTAATGTTGACTATAATTCTGAATTTACTGCATATATCTCCAAGAAAAGTGACAAGCTTTTAGTAAACAGCACAAGTCTGTCGCAAACAAAAAATCATGCGTGTTAATAAAGTTGTGTACTAAAAGATATTTTCTAAGAAACAACAAAGACAGGTCTGACTCAAACTCCACGACAAGTTGGAGTGCAAGGTGATGCTTGTATGAAGAATAAAAATACTATTGTCCATTTTCCAGTTTACAAATTAATTTACATAACCTCTACAACCTCTTAAACCTTTGGTTTCTGGATGTGCCCATAGAGTATTGCTCTCATATGGAAAATGATACACGGTTCAACAATACAATAACAGAGCTTTCTTAATGTATATTCCCAATAATTGTTAAGATTTTGTTAATTTAACTGTATGTAACTAACATATTTCTAAGTGACAAACAATGCTAAGTGCTAGTGAGGACAAAAGTGGCAACAAAGCTAAGAGCATTTTGATGTACTTTGTTAGGAATTTGTGCACTAATTTGATAATAACCATTGGGAGATTGTAGTTTAAAATTAGCTATTTCTATTTAATATAAATGTCTAGACAAATAGAGTTGGGTGCAAAATAGCATGACTACACGCAGAAAGTGTGTGTGGTGGGGGGGGGGGGGCTTTTGTCAAGAGTTCCCAAAGATATATTTTTTTCTTTCTTGGAGCTTGAAAGAAGGATGTTTAAACAGATGTAAAGAGAGTAATTAGCCTGTTTCTGTCTAGACATGACATCCAGTGTACAAGAATTACTTAAGTCACAGAGACCGAAATTGAAGATGTTTCTGAATCATGGGATAACAAAATCGAAGATTAGTTTTTTTAAAAGTTTATTTAGGAATAAAAGAATTAAAACATATATTGCTCTTAAATAAAGCCCCCTTTCTAATTATTGCCCCCTCCCAGTATTTTTTATAAAACTTGTGTGACAGCAATAGTAATCTAACATATCCAGAACTACTACAACTAGCTACCCTCACTTTTGCAGTTTGCAATGCCCATGGAGGCAATAATGTAGGGGCAATACAGTAGGTAATATAAAAACATTGAATTGTAACGTATGTTATAATGCTAATTTCACTGACATACATTGATTATAAAGTTGCATAATTAAAATAACCTCAGTAAAACCTCACTAGAGTAGGAAATTCACAGCTGCCACAGCAGAAATTGTCGCCATATTTTTCAAAATGACTGTGGTGCGCTCAGAAAATCACCAAAATCCACAGCCACTATTCTGTATCCCTTTGGCCGACATGCTCTCACAATTTAAATTTGTATTGTGTACCACAGTAAAGGGAAAACCATTGGGGAACATAAACACTGGACCAACCTACAGAAACTACCTTGTTATGAATAATATATCAAATAAAATGCAAGTAGTGGAGGGAGTGAAGTTTTCGCTTTGATTGACAGTAAAACGTTCGTGCAGTTTGTCGAGTCATACCATACTGCAGGCTCCGGTGAGTAATAAAGTTGAATATCATGATTGGTATTGCAAGTGCAAATGATATGGCTAATAAAAAGGAAAAAAAAAAGGTCTCATAAATTAATTTACTCTAATTATGTCTAAAAGAATCGAGTGCTGCAGCTATAATTCCGTCTTGTTTAGAAAATGAGAGGAAATAGGATATGTCAATAATTTGGCTCAATAAATTTTATGTGAAAACCCACCAAAGTTTTAGTCTTTAGCCTTTCTTTCAGGGGATGAGGTCAATTTTTAATAATCTATAGATGTGCTCTCAAGCATGTTATAATACTGTAACTGATGCTTCAAAAGAATCATATATATATATATATATATATATACAACACGTACTTATAAATTTCTATAAACACAAGTAAGTTACTTTGGAATGCTAATGCAATGACCAATGAAGAGACTAAAATGTTATTTATTAGAAGAACACAGTAAGAATGATTTATAATTCTTTCCTGTTTTAAATTCATAATGTGAGTATATTAATAATAATAAATCACTGGGATTTTGATGTCTGTGAACAGTATTTAATAAGCAAGCTTATTGTACATTCAATTTCATACTATGTAAAATACTTTTTGTGGAAATATCTTGATTTAAACTAGTTGCAACTTTTGTTTTAAATAATCTGTAACAAATGTTACAAAGCATCAAGTTATTTTTCTTATATGCTACCAATAATTTTGGTACTTACATGGCTCCAATCTCTGTTAGTTCCTACAGGTAATTTTTTCCATCTTTTCACCAGTAAAACACAAGCATTACAGATTTCACCCGATCGTCTTTCTTTAATACAGAAACACTTTTCAAACTCTGATTCATATTTCTTGCTGTCAGTAAATCTTGAGCTGGAAGATTTGGCCTTACAGATACAGCAGCCATTTGCAGATCGGTAAATCTTTGGTTTATGAAAACTAAACATGGTGAGGTGATCTAGAAATACAGCTAAAATATAGACAAAAATACCAACAATGAATAGTACCAAACAAGTATCCACTGCACATGTAGAAAACAGTTTCAAATTATTAAAGTACACGTACATACATAGCATTGAGAAACCACTTCTTTGACATATTTAAATATGTAGCACAGTTTGCCCTATGATAAAATAATGTATACTGTCAGTTTACATTTTCAATGTTTGCTGAATAAGCACATCCATACAAAGTTCTAAAATTAAATTTTGACGAATGGGTGAACTCAAAGAAGTAAATGGCTGTCTATAATTTTGGTCTTTGTTTTAAAACTTAACTGATAAACTATTGAATAATATTGTGCAAATTATCTTTCAAAACATAAAACATGAACCTCAATTTTCATTTAGGCACATATACTATAAGTTATATGTACTTCTCACCTTGAATACTATGCCTCGTTGTAATACATGCACATATAATACGGTTTAAAACTAATATTTCAGAATTAAATATTAAAAAGAAACTATAATACTAACATGCTATTTCCATTGGTTTTGTCAAGATTTAAGCTTATAAGTCCTTTTTCTATAAATAACCCTTTTCATTTTGCAACCTGTATTATCATATATTTCATTATATAAGATTTTCACATCTGGTCATATGTTTTCATGCTATCTGAATTGCCCAATGACCATGTACCACATATTCTTTGCATTTAAGTGATTTACACAATATCTTCTGCTACATTTTCTCCACAAACCTTATTTTTGGAATAACAGGAGGAGGTGATAGAAAAGTTGTCTTTGTTATTTTGTTATTCTATTTTATTTTATTGCTACTATAAAATATTTATTCCATATACATTTTCCCTCTACTGTTGTAGAGTTACATTAGAATCCCCACACAGATGTGGATATTGGAAGAAGCAAATGGCCTATTACTCCTAGGGAAGAACTTGCCACTCTTAAAAAATGTCAAAGACAGCAATGTGGAAGACCAAGTTTCATTGACTGGTAGCTATGGTACCAACCTACATCTTAGGATATTGTAGTCAGATCTTGAGAATTTCGAAGATTCTGTACACCCAACAGCTTGTCATCCACTAATTGCTGGCCACTTTTTGTGTGGCTAAAGTCTCCTTAGGAAAGAGTACTTTTAATTCCTTTCCAAAAACACAGGAAAGAGAACAAGGAAGTGATTCAACGTGGAAAGTATTCAGGAGACATGCCAGACTACCCATAAATAAGAAATTGCAGCAATGAGAGAAAAAAAAAAAACCTACATGGCTAAAACCAACTAAGGTAATATTTGTCAGCAATCACCCTTATCAGGGCTGGTGGGCAGCTCTCTAGGGTTGAAAGTGCACACTTGCATAAGATATTTCACAATTTTGGTAAAAATAGTAATTCTAACTGTATTTCAACAATTGTTTTTACTGAAAGATATTTCAGAATTGAAATTTAACTATTCAAAATGTATTTTGTGTAATTTGCAAAGAAAACTTAACACCTGCCACACAAGCCAGTCCAGTATCTTGATATGGATCTAAAGAAAAAATCATTTGGAAAGTTATGGGTTGTTTTGACTAGACAAAAAGAAGACACTTGGCACTATGTTCAAAGTCTAGGTCACTGAACTAGACCTATGACCTAACCCAAGACCATGAGAGCAAACATGGAGAAGTTAACTTGTAAATGTAAAGTAAAACAATGTAGCAATGAAACACGCTTGAAATGTTCTAGATGTGGTTGTGAATGTGATGGTTTATGAGTAGCAATTAAGCTAAACTGTCGATCCAGGTCAAATGAGGGAAGAACTTATTCAAAGATATCCCAGTCAATCTTGCATACCACTGAATAGGAGATTTGTCAATTGATTACTGTATGAACATCAAAAACATAATAATAAAAAAACAAAACAGGCATAATAGTATCATTATATTCAAAATGGGGGATTGGAATCATATATAAGAAATCATTAGTTTCAATATTTTGTAAAACTAACAGCACAGTAAAGCCTAAAAAGCAGTGTTGAAGCAGATGCATTACAAGAAGAATTCACTTGCAATTCTCAACTTAAAAATTCCATTTCTGTAATGAAGAGTAATTATAAGGATGGTATAATGCTCAATATGGTAGCACCATAATATAATCAATATATTTCATCATGTTATATTTTCATTAATATTTAGTTGTTTTTTTTTTTTGTTTTAGAAGTTGGGCCAAACTTATTCTATTGAAATAACCTTAAAATCACTAGTTTCTGAAATGACCCCACCTGTTGACCATCTTAGGCTCAGTAATTAAAGATGCTGGGTTGGCTCAAGTGGCAGGTGTTAAAATATACTTCAGCATTAATCTCTGTACAATTGGAATAGGTACGGACTGTAAACAAAACCTTCACACACTTTTTTAGAGTTGTTATGCCCATCCCAGACCCCGGCATCCCTAAGAAATGGATTTATCCAAAGTTTTGTTTCTCACATGACTTTCTTCTCAATGACTATTTTCAAGAACCCCATGTTGAAAGCTTTTTTACGATGCCACAGCAAGTAAGTTGGACAGTGACTAATAAATCTTGGCCTTTAAACAGGATAGAATACCAGTAGTTATACCATGACTGCATAGAAATTATTTTTGTCTATATATCATGGTACAGTAAATAACACTTTGGTTTCTGAGAAAATCGACTAGCAAACGTTCTCCGAGTAGAAAACAAAGAATTCTAATGTGAAGTTTACAAAACTTAGGAACAAGCCATAAACTTGAGACTTTTTAATTTTATTTTTTTACAATATTTTCTGTCATTTATGATAACTTTTTTGTTGTGTTTTAAAACTATAGGAATGTGGTAAGCTAGGAGTTCTACAAGTGCATACTATTCATATGACAGAAAACTTTTTTTTTCTTTTATATCTGTGTGTATTGGTAATTATTACTCAAACAATACATTCAAGTACAAAAACACCCCAGTTACTATAAAATTATAAAAACAAACTACAATTATTAGAAAGAAATTGAGCTTCAACAAAAAAACATAGTTGGAAAAAATATCGTCAATATCAGTGTAGGCGAAGAATGCGACTGCAGGCTGTGTTTCTACCAGTTAACACTTCTACTGTTCCTAAGCTGCTTCAACAGGTAAAGATAAACAACAAATAAATAATTGGTGAAAATTTAAAAAAAAAAATAGAAAGTTAAACCTAACTAGATATGTATAAAAATATAATTTTCTTACCAATAACATTTTTAAAGAAATCGACTTTTATTTATATATTTTTTTTATATTTTTGAATAGCTACTTTCTTTTTATATAAGAGCTTGTATAAACAGATAAGAGAATATTATATGCCATTATTAGATCACAGAAATATGCATTATAGTTTTATTTTAAAAAAAATAACTACTAACACATTTATAGATTTTACTCATACAATAAAAATAAACTCCAACACTATTTAAAATCAAAATTTCCAGAAATTGAAAGCAAAAAAATATGATACAAATACTAAATCAAATTATGTAATTTGTTTTCAAGCTCAAACTACATATATATATATATAGAAAATGTATTCCAAATTTCATGCATTTAGTTTAAATATTTTAAGTGTGAGTACGGGGAGCAGAAGGTAACCCCACCAGTCCAAACAGGGTTAAAGATGACTATAATGTATACAGTGAGAGACAAGGGTATCAAAATTCTTTCAGGTATTACCCTGTAGATTTTCCTTCAAAAGGCATCCTAGACTATGAAACTGAAGACATAAGTATCTCATTTTATGAGATTTGAAAAGTGAGTTTCTATACATGCAACAGGTTTTCAGCCACAAAACAAAGACAGAAGCAGATGGCTCTTACAAGCAGAAGCATGATGAACAATATAAATTGTGACAGGTATAAAATACAATTTTGACCTAATTTATTATCTCCCCAGTTATTATAGTATGGTAATAGAAGAGAAAATTACCGCCCTTAGATTATTAGTCTACATCCAAATTGTTCTTGGGATTAAGATAAAAAAACATTCCTCTGAAATCAGTATCTGAATAACTAACTAACAGGAATGTCATAATATCTCTTAGTTAATGAAAGAGAAGAAAATAAGTTTCATTTAATAACAAACTGAGACTACAGGTACTCAAAGGTTAAGAAAAGTATTGTGCCAAAGCCTGAATTACTCAATACATATCCTAAGACCCTAGGTCTCAAGGATGAGAAACCATGATAAAAAACTGAAATCAAATTTAAAGAGCCATAACTCAGGAATGAGAACATCTGTTGAGTGATTCATGCACTGTTCAGTGCCTGGAAAGGCTGATAAAATTAAACCACCAACTTCAAAGAAATAGCAGAAAAATATGTTTATGATGGATGGACATAAAGGATATTATGCCTCTTGTATCACTATGTGAAAAAAAGTCATTTCATCCACTTTGTTGGAGACTCAAATTATAAATCCTTAAGAAAAGTGAACCATTAATCTTGCCACTCTGCATGAAAATTCTACAGCATGAGAAACAGAGTAGAAAGATGTTAAATGATCAAGTATAGTCTTGTTATGTAGCAAAAAAATATTTATGTTTTGGATTGAGATTCAGCTACCTTGGGACTAGGATTTCATCCATACAAGACTCAGCAAAGAAACCCAATGAGAGCAGTATGAAGCTATCATTAACACCATGTCTATAAGAGGCAGATGTGATACAACACTCGAGGTAAAAGATGTAAATAAAGGTAACCTTGATGTAGTCAGCATGTACAAAAAAATAGCATTGCTTTACGAATGAATAAAATGAGGTAGACAGTATGTAAAAAAATCTATCATTCCTTAATGAATAAATAAAACATGTGGAGGACATTGCAAATTCCCTAAAGTGCCTTGAGACTGATGTGTATCTACTCTTATGCTGCAGGCCAAATACTACACTTTATTACATAACATGGTTTTCAATATAGTGAAAAATAAACATACAAACTACATATGTAGAAAATGTATTCCAAATTTCATGCATTTAGTTTAAACATTTTAAATGTGAGAACATGGTGCAGAAGGTAACCCCACCAGTGCAGAGTTAGAGATGACTATAATGTATATAGTGGGAGACAAGGGTGTCAAAATTCTTTCACATATCACCCTGTCAAAATGAAATCTGTTGTAGTGAAAAGTAAATAAACAAGTTGATGAAAAGATTGTTATAATGCATCCATGGATTGCAAAGATACCTGGCATTATGAAGGAGGAGATAATAAATCAAGGACCAGAAATGTTTGTTCTAGCTTTCAAACTTCCTGGTGTGCCTGGACAGGAAGTCTAATTCATTGTATTAATGGTTTAAAAACTTTAAATTGATTACTCTTACCATTTCAAAACATTAAATAGCTTGGAAGTTGAAGTCTTAAATGAAACTTATAGCTATTATACTTTATAGTATTACTTCTAATTGATTAGAAATTATTTCCATCATTCCTGTAGGACAGAAAAAAAAACTATAAACTTTAAAAACGGAAATGGCATAAGCTAATTCCCTATACGACTGCTACATAGTAAGTTAGTGTTGTGAATGTTAAATAGATTATAACTTTTCATTTTCTTAAGCTTATGAAAAATATACCACTTTCGATTATTAACATCACATCATCTTAACATCATTCACTGTCATCAGCAGCAAAATTTCACGTTTAAGTTAATGAAATGCGAGTTTTAAAAAATGCCTATCTATTTAAAATATACGCTATTTTAACTTAACTTAAAGTATATTATATAAATAATACAAGCTTCCTACACAAAAGTAGCCTAATGGCGGCTGAAATCTGGCCAAGGGCACTGACCTAAATCTAGAAAGATAACTTCATAACACTTACAGTCTGAAGGTCTACGCTTAAATATCTTAGTAATAATCACCGTATACGATAGGTTTTAGTTAATATATGAATAATATAAGTAATATTTGAAATATTATATTTTTTTCACTTACAACTATGATCAAGGCTGCTTTATACAAATTCACCTTAGACTGCTCAAGTGCAACAAAATCCTCCAAACCCCCACCAATAGACAGACAACAGACACGTGAATGCGTTCCGCTTTTCGCTGTGTAAACTTAAAACACGGCCATTCCGACTTTTAACGAAGGGGGGAGAAACCTCGACGTTGATCTAGGTACAATTTTTCACATAACAATCAAGAAACAAAATTCCCTCGGTGTAATTAAAATTTCGTATATACAGAGACTGATATATAAAAGTAATCAAAATTAAATGTGTTGCATTAAAGATCCAAGAAATAAATGCATAAATTTACAACACACACACATGAATAACTGTTACAAAACGTTTCTGGCGAATGAAAACGTGGTGTGTTTCTTAGGTGTTGTTAATTTAAGCTCATTTTGGTGATTTATTTCATGACATTTCTGTGGTTATTTTTTATATTTGCACTAAAAAATTTGGAGCTACTTCTGTTAACCGTCTCTAATTATCTTACCCCCCTTGAAGAGAGGGGGGGGCGAGGGCATTGTGTGTATGATTCTGTTTGTTTGTGTTTCCGCAAGCGTATCTCGAAAACTAATAAACCGATGTACACGAATATTTTACACAAGATGGGAAGTTAGTATGGGACAGTCCTCCCCCATTTTGGTCCGGATCCGTTTATGGATCACTTTGAAACACGTTTTATAATGGGGAGATATGGCATTTTTGCGGTTTTGGGTTAATAACTCTGTAAAGTGTGATCGGATTTGTATCAAATTTCATGGGTATATCAAAGTTGAGACTCCTCATCACACTTCAAAAATGATCTGGATCGTTGATCATTCTGGATCTGAGAAGGATTATCTGAGTTTTCGAAGGTGAAATTGGACGTTATCCAATATAAACGCTTGCAATCTCTGTGATTGCACTTGTTTTAAACTGATAGACTAAGAGAATATACAGCTAGTTAACAGCACCTACAGCCAACTGTTGGAGTATTCTTGTCTAACTGAATAGTGTGATTTGACTTTCACACTTATAATATACTCACGGTATTAAAGTGTTTTTTTTTTGTTTGTTTGTTTGTTTTTTTGACTCGGAGATCCATCATCTGGCACGTTAACGCGTTAACCATTGTGGAATGCTTATTTGACATGCAAACGTAGTTGATAAAAACATTACTTTCAACAAATGAAAATATCAACCTCCAATATTTTGTATTTCTTCGATACTTAACTTGTAATTCAGAACTAGAATAATTTAAAATGTAATTTATAAAATAATTATAAATATTATGTGAAACCAATTAAGTAAAAGTACTTAATAAAAACGAATAAACCAAGAAAATAAACTTATAGTGATTGAAATGCACTGAATCATCAGTTTGGTATAAAAATATTTTTCGCTATTAAAGTTATTTTCGACATTAATATATCTTACACAGTTCAGCCATATCAGAAGATGGAAGTTAGTCCGAAATCTCTATACTAGGTCAACAGCCTTAATAAGGTTAATAATAATTCCAAAAATAGTACACAAAATGCGAATACATTTATGTGTGTTTGCATTAGTGCTCATCATCCAACATCACAATTTGATTACTGTTACGAAAATGACTAAAAATCACGAACAAAAGTCATACGAACTGTCTTTTAGGATAATTATACCGATGCTCTTTCCACGTTCTCTGGACAAGCATGACTCTACTATCTAAGGAAATATCTATATATTTCCCCAAATAAAAGGAAGTGACCAATAAAAAACACTTTCTCGATACCAAATTGTGCAGTTAGTGGTGTTTTTAAAGCATTTTATATAAGTTCTCTTTACCTTATAATTGATAATTTTTAGAATATGACTTTTTAACAAATTTAATTTGAGAGAGTGTTTACAACGGAATAAGGTGTGAGGTAAAGTGGATCATCGATTATAAACGAGTTGATATAAATGAACGACTTCTCTTTTGGCTACGTTTTCACATCATTCATACGAATAAATTATGAGGCAATTGTTGCATTACAGAAAAACGTAGCATTCTAAAGTAATGTTTGTTTGTTTTGAATTTCGCGCAAAGCTACACGAGGGCTATCTGCGCTAGCCGTCCCTAATTCAGCAGTGTAAGACTAGAGGGAAGGCAGCTAGTCACCACCACCCACCGCCAACTCTTGGGCTACTCTTTTAACAACGAATAGTGGGATTGACCGTAACATTATAACGC